CTTATAAAGTCATTAACAAAAATAAAATTCTTTTATAGACTATCTATAGTAATTCTACATTTATACTAAAAGTATCAATAATACGAAAATATTTTTTTGAAAAAAGTTATAACCTTCATTGTTCGTTAAATATAAAAAAACATCAGCCCAAATCTTTCAATTTATGGGTCGGGTTATCTTTGTTGAAAAATTATTAGATTTAGTGAAAGAAAATCGAAAAGTATTATTCATTATATTGACTAAAGGTTAAAAAATAGATTGCATTAATTACTTTTATATTAAGGATTCAATTCTTGAACTAATAAAGAGTTTACTAACTAATTACTCTTATTAATAATCAATTATAGAATAATTGCATACACAATTTTTTAGGGGCTTACAAATATTTGCAAATCAAAAAAACAGTAAAGTCTTTGAATAATAATATATCACCCTGCATAATTGTTAAGATATATTTAGGGGATACTTAAAGCCAGGTCCAATACGAATTTAAATTAATATTAAGGTTAGTGTCAGTGTATAATTGTCTCTCTGACATTTTTCTCATTCTACCAAAATAGGTTTAAATATTCATTTACTTTTTTTGCTTTGTCAGGCTAATTCATGTAAATGGAAGATCTTGCGATAGACCTAGCTTTAAGCAATTCTTGCATTTAGAAATTTTGATTTACAAACTGATTTGAAAAGCATATTTTTATTATTGTTGACTTGTTAAAATAAAGCAAAATAGGCCGTATCAAATTTGTAAAAAAATAAAAATGATAAATATTTTATAAAAAGATTTAAAAATGTAAATTTTCTTAAAAAAATTTGTAATCTTTGCGATAGTAAAAAAATAATAAAATAAACTCCAAATTTTCTACAATTTATTACAACGAACCAAATGGCTTCTATCTTCTGTGCTATTTCCTTCATTAAAAGTGTTTTCGTCTCAAGTTCGGGAAAGTATTGTACCGGGTCTGCGGTCTACCGAACAGAAACTACTGAATTTGCTGAATATAAGTTTAAAACATTTTATATGGGAGAATCATCGCTTATTGAAGAATTGACTGAAAAAATCATCACGATGATAATTGGTTGTTTTGCATTCGAAGATGAGTTAAATGTAAATATAAAACCTAACTTGTTCATACTTGAGATGCAGGCAAATTGCCTCAATAATTACAGTAATCTTGCTGAATATATTATTAGTTATAACGGCATGTTACAGTAAAGCTACAGCAATCATTGGGACGATTTGCCTGCACCTCTAGTTCATATTAACCTATATAGAAGAATATAATGATTAATTTAATTTCATATTTAAAATGAAGATTATGATTTCTCAAAGTGTACTCTTGCAAATTAAAACATTACAAAATGAACCTACCATTTACGATCTACCAATTGCATCTGCTTTCAGAATTTTTTCTGCGCCTGTTTAAGACCCTTCTGAACCACATGATGACAGTGCTATATTTCGTCTAAAAAAAGGTGTCTATAATAGTATTAATGGAAAAACCACTGATTTGTCAGTTATATGCAAGTGTAATCCAAATCTGAAAGGTCGTCATTCTAATGTAACTGAAGCTACACATTGTCGAACCATTTTTTCTGTTACCGGTGAATTAATTTTTGTTGAGAAATCTGTCTTTGTATTATGTGAAACAATAGAATAGAATTATTATATAATGCGAGAAAATTCAAAATCGCAGTTGTGTGATGAGACAGAACATGTAAAAAAAAAAAGAAAAAGAGATGATGAGCTAGCAAAAATTGCAGAGGCTTTTAAATCTAAAAACTAACAACAAAATAAGAATCGTAACTATGTAGTTGTTGAAGATTAATTTTGTTATAATATATAATAAAACTTACTTTATATTTTTTGGAAGCGGCTTACTCTTTTTCATATGTGCATTAATATTTCGCTTTTATAGTAAAAAAAAACTAATCAATCGATTATCTCAATTTTTTAACTAATCAAATTTTCTTGACTTATGATGGCACTGCCCTTCGATCTAACATGTGACCAAGATACATGTCAGAACCAAAATTTGCTTTGACACGTAATAATGTCAAATTAATCGAAAATTTGGCCCTGTAATTTTTTTTTGTTATAATATACAAATTGGTTATTGTAAAAATTGCTGGAAAAAAAATAACGTATACATGAGGTAAATCTATTTTTTTCAAATACTTACTAGTCTTTAAGTATTCCTGCTAACATAATAGTTAAAAATGTCTAATTAATCGAAAATTTGATTCTTTATTTTTTTTTTGTTATAATATATGAATCAATTATTGTAAAAGTTGCTAAAATAAAATAGTATACACACAAAAAGAATCAATTTTTTTGAATATTTACTAGTCTTTGAGTAATTTCTGCCAATGTAATAACAAAAAAGCCCAATTAATTGAAAATTTGGCCCTGTAAATTTTTTATATTATACTATGTGAATCGTTTGCTACAAAAATTTCTTCAAACAAATAGTTTGTATATGAGGTGAATCTATTTTTAGATACTAGTATTTCATTAGTAAAGGTTTGCCGATCGATTTATGCACAAAATCTATCAGTATTATTACTATTATTGGATCTCACATGATTTTGATTAATTAGTATATCAGAAGCTCCAGTACAGTATGTTGTGAGACCAGAAACGTGATCTGACGGCACGTGCCTCATGACCTTGGTTATTTCTAAATTGGAATTCCCGACCAAAAATCGCAGAAATGTCATTTCTGGAGGGAAAAGTAGAAATGACAGAAATGGTAAAAACGGCGATTCTGGGATTAATGGTGATTCTGTAAATAATAGTGGTTTTGGGATTATTGGTTTTTCTATCTTTAAGGGCATTTCTGAGAAAATAGACAGTAATGGTAGAATAGGTAGATTTTCTAGATAGATTATTCATTATAAAATAAAGGCCTGTTGGCTCTTCTGGAAGAACAACACCCGATTTATCTAATAATAAAGTACCTAAGTCATATAAACATATACTATAAAATACATATATTCCTTATTAACCACTCGTCCAAATCTAACACGCCTCTTTCGAACCCAAGGTAACCTAGGTTTGGTTACACAGGCCTTCTCTTCAATTTAGCGACAGACTCGCCGTTCCGGGTCTCTTAACGTACTGTACGTATAGTTCTTTTTTGGCATCTGATTGGCTGGAACAAGTGATTGGCAAAAATTTTAGCATACAGTACTGTATGTATAGTACTACACGCGGTATATCACTAGGTGTAACTCTTATTGATAGATAGTTTGAATTTTTTAAAACTTTGAGTGAAGATAGCTCGACACTACCAAGCCATATTTGATATCCGATTTTTTATTTGAATTCTACAGATTTGTAGAATTTAAATAAAAAAAAGTTCATCGAATTTGGCTTGGTGGGAGTTGAGATATCTTCACTCAAATTTTAAGAAAAAGTTTGGCGCAGCTCTTTTTGATAGACATTTTGAATTTTTTTAAAACTTTGAACAAAGATAGCTTGACACTTACCAAGCCAAATTCAATCTACATTTTTTTATTCGAATTCTACAGTTTTGTAGAATTTAAATAAAAAACATTCATTGAATTTGGCTTGGTGGGTGTCGAAATATCTTCACTCAAAGTTTAAAAAAAAAAACTTTAGTACAGCTCTTTTTGATAGACATTTTGAATTTTTTAAAACATTGAGTGAAGATAGCTCGATACCCACCATGCCAAATTCAATGAATATTTTTTTATTTGAGTCTACAGATTTGTAGAATTAAATATAAAAAAAATTCATTGAATTTGGCTTGGTGGCTGTCGAGATATCTTCGCTCAAAGTTTTAAAAAAACTTTGGTACAGCTCTTTTTAATAAATGTTTTAAAAATTTTAAAACATTGAGTGAGGATAGCTCGACACCCACCATGCAAATTCGATGCCTGTTTTTTTAATCGAATTCTACAGATTTGTAGAATTTAAATAAAAAAAAGTTTATCGAATTTGGCTTGGTGGGTATCAAGATACCTTCGCTCAAAGTTTAAAAAAAAGTTTGGTGCATCTCTTCTTTTTGATAGACATTTTGAATTTTTTTAAAATTTGAGTGAATATAGCTCGACACCCACCAAGCCAAATTCGATAAACTTTTTTTATTTGAATTCTACAGATTTGTAGAACTTAATTAAAAAAATTTCATTGAATTTGGCTTGGTGGGTGTCAAGATACCTTCGCTCAAAGTTTAAAAAAAACTTTGGTGCAGCTTTTTTTAATAGACGTTTTGAAAATTTTGAAATTTGAGTGATGATAGCTCGACACCCACCAAGCCAACAGGTTTGTAAAATTTAAATAAAAAAAACTTCATTGAATTTGGCTTTGTGGGTGTTGAGATATCTTTGCTCAAAGTTTAAAAAAAACTTTGCCGCAGCTCTTCTTTTTAATAAACGGTTTGAAATTTTTAAAATATTGAATGAAGATAGCTCAACACCTACATGCCAATTCAATGAACATTTTTTTATTTAAATTCTACAAATTTGTAGAATTTAAATAAAAAAAATTCATCAAATTTGGCTTGGTGGGTGTTGAGATATCTTCACTCAAAGTTTTAAAAAAACTTTGCTATTCTTTTTGATGGAGGTTTTGAATTTTTTAAAACTTTGAGTGAAGATAGCTTGACACCCACTAAGCCAAATTCAATAAACATTTTTTTTATTTGATTTCTACAGATTTGTAGAATTTAAATAAAAAAAAATTCATCGAATTTGGCTTGGTGGGTGTTGAGATATCTTCACTCAAAGTTTAAAAAAAAGGTTGGCACAGCTATTCTTTTTGATAAATGGTTTGAATTTTTTTAAACTTTGAGCAAAGATAGCTCGACACCCACCAAGCCAAATTCAATATACATTTTTTTATCTGAATTCTACAGATTTGTAGAATTCTAATAAAAAAAAGTTCATTAAAATTAACTTAGTGGTTGTCAAGATGCCATCACTCAAAGTATAAGATTTTTAATTTGATTATATATTGATCTACATAAATTAGCTAATCACTGTGACCCATGACAAAATTTGATGTAACGGGGGGCAACAAATATATTTTCCAAATTTATAAATTGTTTAAAATAATTTAAGTAAGAGAATTGTCATTTATTATCTGATTTTTTTAGCAGAGGAATGGTACCAAAATATCATACCAATAGATCACATGTATATATATTTATATATAATAATAATCATTTAAGGTGAGGTGTGACAACATAGCGAAGTGGTAGAGTTGTCACCCCCAAGTAGCAAGATCTAGGGTTTGAATCCTACTGGTGACGAAAATTTGAAAACTACTCCTGTATATCCCTTCCAGATATGTCAACTTAATCTGTAGTGGCATCGTATGCTGTAACCGAAAGGGCACGGACCAGAGTACTGCTCCTGGGAGTACTGCGGTATAACAAGATCTATGGTAGAGTGTTCATTTGGGGAAAACCCAGATGAAGAAATGCAAACCGGTACATGTCGGTGCAAACACAAGATAAGCCTCTATAGTAGACCCTGATATAGAAGTGGTACAAACATCAAGACCTCCAGACTAACCAGATTAGAAAGAACTACTTGCAAATCCTGAGTATGGTGTTCAATTCAGAAAAGGATGAAAAATAGAGTGTTGGGGCCCCTTGAAAAATAGTTCGAAGTAAGGATTTAAGGAATACAACCCGGTTTAGTCGGTGTAAACACAAGATAAATCCATATAAGGGTTAGTATAGACATATAAAGTAGGTTTATATAGTTTAATTCTTAACTATATATAGCAATATGTACTTCACCAAAAACAGTTTGAAACACAAACACAAACACTAGTCTTCTACATGTCTAAGATTC